GGAAAGGGATTGCTAGTTTCTTTCATAAGCCTAGGAGTCCTACTGGCTTTTAAAAATAAATGCATATATAAAATTGACATTACAAAAATAAATCTTTAAAAGAAAGAAACCAACACCGCTTCTGTTGAATGATTTTTTAAGACTTAGATTTGAAAATTGTGATTATTTATTGATGTGATGCAATCTCATTAATTTGGAACATAAATAAATCTTGTATTAATAGATTCCAATGATACAATGTTACTACTAAATTAAATTTCTCTAACAAAAAAATGGAGAGACTTTATGTCAGATTGGGAATTGCAATTATTTCCAATTATACACTATTTTGAACAAACAGAATTGCCTTCACAGGGTTATACTATATTCTAAATCAGGCACAGTAAATAGAAAATGCTTTGAAATAACAAACTGTCTAATGAGGGATCCTTGGTTTCAATGCTCTTATTCAATTTGAATTCAATTGAGGAAAATTTTGTTTTAAGATATAAACCTCAGGGAATAGCAGATGGCAGTTTTGTAGAACTTTTTGTTATTGATTCAGAGGTGATCAAGATAAATGAATTCAGGAAGCAAGAAGAAAAGAAAAGTAAAGAAAGATGACATAATTACGGAGAAAAAGGCCATTTAGTACATCTGAAGAGTATCTGCAGCGTTGATTTTGCAGTAAGCTCACTTATAAAAATTGTAGTGTGTCAGCGATTTCTAGACTGTGGGGAAACCTGCAGGACCCAAAAAGGGGAGAGGTAGTGGGGAGGAGGATCTGGCCTCTTCATTTCTTCAACAAATAAACTTTAACGGAACAAAGAGAAAGAGAAAGGTATCCCCAAGCCACAAACAATATCGAAGGAAAAAAAAAAAAAAAAAAAAAAAAAAAAAAAAAAAAAAAAAAAAAGGAGGGAAAAGGGGAACTGCATTTCAAAGGAGATTTAGAAGACATATAGACCTATGGCAATGTATGGACTTCATTTGGAGTTGGATTCAAACCAACTATAAGTAAATGATGACTTAAGATAATTGGAAATTGGAACACTGGGTATTCAATGATGCCAAAGAATTACTGCTTTGTTTGGTTTGGTTTTTGTTTGTTTGTTTTTGTTTGTTTGTTTTGCTTTTTTTTTTTTTTTGCTATCGGGCGCGTGCACTTGCCAGAAAGACAGAAAGAGACAGAGAGACAGAAAGCAAGAAATCACCCCCCAGAGAGGATGGCCATGCCACAATCCCTTCTCCTCCATTTTCCTCTCAGGATCTTGGGCACGCACGCACACACACTGGGCATGAGTTTAAACTACTGGGTCCAGGACTCAAACCGCAGTCGACTACATGGGAGTCCAGCAACATAGCCATTATGCTATCTGCTGGTTCCTCCTGTTGGGATTTTTTTCCCCAATAGGGCCTGTGTGCTCCTGGAGGGAGACAGAGAGAGAGAAAGTGAGAAATCACCCCCTGGGAGAATGCTATGCTGCAATCCTCTCTATCTCATTCTCCCCTTGGGATCCTGGCCAAGCACACACCTGAAGTGATTTTCAAGTCACCAGGTCCAGGACTCGAATCACATGTGGCTATGTGGAAGTCCAGTGACTCAAACACTATGCCACCTACTGGCCCCCTGTTGGGATTTTGGGCATGCACACATGCATTTTTCAAGCTGTCGGGGACAGAACTTAAACTGATCAGTTGGCCATGTGGGATCTGGCTCTCTTATCCATTAGACCACAGGGCTAACCCTGAATCATCATTTTTCTAAAAAATAGAATATGGCTTTCTTTCTTTTAAGAGCTATTTTATTTAATTATATTTATTATTATTATTTATTTATTTATTTGACAAGAGACAGAGAGAAAGGGGAAGTGAGAAAGCAAGCCTGGGTCTCCCACTGCAGTTGGTCAGGTGGGAGTTCTGTGCCTTAACCACCATGCCACCTGCCAGTCCCAGAATATGGCTTTCTTAGTCTGTACATTTATTTGTTTTGACTTTTGTCTTCAAGAACTTTCTGAATTATGAGATAATAAATGTGTGTTGTTTTAAGCCACTAAGTCTGTGGTAATATATTATGCAGCATAAAAAGTGGATATAATGCATTATGGTCTTTCTGTCCAGTAAATTCCTGGTTAGCCTGCATGTTAGTGTAAGGTATAACAGATAAATGTGATGCACTGGTGAAATGACTATCTATATATCACATCTTTTTAAAAAAAATTTTAAGCATTATTTTTAGTGGGACCAGCAGATGGCATAATGACTATGTCACTGGACTCCCATGTAGTCAACTGTGGTTTGAGTCCCAGACTCAGTGGCTTAAACTCATGCTAAAGGCATGTATGTGAGTGTCCAAGATCCCGAGAGGAGAGTGGAGGAGAAGGGATTGTGGCGTGGCCATCACCCTGGGGGATGATTTCTTGCTTCCTGTCTCTCTTTCTCTCACTGTCTTTCTGGTGAGTGCATGCGCCCTGTAGCAAAAACCTCTCCAAAAAAAAAAAAATAGAAGTATGTTTATTTAACTTTATTTATTTCATCTGTTTATTTTTTCTTAATTTTTAAAAATTTGACTAGAGAGGGACCAGCAGTTAGCGTAATGGCTATGTCACTGGACTATCATGTAGTCAA